ACCGAACCCGGGCTGGGCCGGCCCGCCCCTCCCTCGGGAGGTGGCCCGGGGTCTCGGCCGCCAGCCTGCCCTGTCGCCCGGACCCGGTCTGCCTGATCAGCCTCCCCTTTCGGTTGTGGGCAGAGGCTCTGGAGAGGGCTTTTCTGAAAATGAGTTGTGACTTGTCGCCCACTGGGTTTGTCTCCCGAAGGCAAGAAGGGTCGCTTGGACTTCATTATTATTAGATATCCTTACTGCTGGAGAAAGAGAACCCATTCTCCACAGGAGATTTCAACTACTTTGTTTTGTTTTGTTTTTTTGACTATGGCCTCCGTTAAAAAAAAATTTAATTTCTTCTGATTTTTTTTCCTAGTTGAAGTATTCATAACACTTTGCAGGTCTCACATTTTCACCATGTAAACATAAAAGACAATAAAAGTCTCATTATCATTCGGCGCTCTCGTTTTGCCTCTCTCTTTTTTTTTTTGCTTGATAGGAAGATAATTTTACCTGTTGTGTGAATCAATTTGACAACTCTACCAACTCCAGATTTTCTAAGAACATTTTCTTAAACATTTAATAAGTAAAATTGAATTATAACACTTAGCGATTATTTTAAGATAATCGTGGAAGTACAGAACAAAATGGCAGAGTTTGGGCCTTTGAAAAGGATGCAGGGGCCGGGGTCAGAGGCTCAGCCTGTAATCCCAGCACTCTGGGAGGCGGGGTCCAGTGGATAGCCTGAGATCGCAGGTTCGAGACCATCCTGGGCAACGTGGTGAGACCTAGTCTTCACAATAAATAAAAAATTAGCAGGGCACGGTAGCACACACCTGTAGTTCCTGCTACTTGGAGGGCTGAGGCGGAATCATCTCCGGAGCACAGCAGGTCGACGCTGGGGTGACTGTGAACGTGCCACTGCACTCCAACCTGGGTGACAGAGTGAGACTCCAACTGAAAAAAAAAAAAAAAAATGCAGGCCCAGAGCAGTGGCTCAGCCAGTAATCCCAGCATTTGGGGAGGCCAAGGCAGGAGGATTACTTGAGCCCAGGAGTTCAAGACCAGCCTGGGCAACATAGCAAGGTCTCATCTCTACAAAAAAAATTTTAAAAATTAGTTGGGCGTGGTGACCTATGCCTGCAATTCCAGCTACTCAGGAGGCTGAGATGGAAGGATTGCCTGAGCCAGGAGGTAGAGGCTGTGATAAGCCATGACCGTGCCTCTCACTTCAGCCTTGGCAATACAGTAAGAGTCCAACTCAAACAAAAATAAAATAAAATAATTAAAAGGCTGCAATATAGTTCAGAGAAATGGTATTTCTCACAGTGTTAAATTTAAAATACAGACATTCCTTACTATTAAAAAATTAAGGTATTTAGTATTTAATTATTAAATAAATAAGTCAAGTAAGTACTTAATAAGTAAAGTATTAAGCATTTAGATATTAAAACACAAATAAATATTTCTACATTGAAATAACTGTACACATGTTTATACACTAGATATATGTCTTTTAAAATGTCTTTTTTTTTTTAAGTTGGAATCCCATTCTGTCTCTCAGGCTGGAGTGCGGTGGCACACTCACAGCCACGGTAGCCTCAACCTTCTGGGCTCCAGTGATCCTTCCGTCTCAACTAAGTAGCTGGAATTATAGGTACACGTCAACATGTCCAGCTGATTTTTTGACTTATTGTAGAGATGAGAATTATAGGCGTGAGCCACCGCACCTGGCCTGGAATGTCTTAAAGTGCACTTCTATAGATCATCTTATGTAGTCTTCCCAGGCCTATAGGACAGGCAGACAGTTACCCTTGTGTGAGAGACGAGGGAGTAAGTTCTAGCGTCAGCAAATGTCTGGTCCAGAGCTAGACCAGACGTTTGCTGATTTCTAGTCCCGAGTACTCCACAATACCACACTGAAATCCTGGAGGATGAGCTCAAAGGCAAACAGGAAGAATCACAAGAGGTCTCAGTCTCCCCATATCCTGGGTTCCTAGAAATTCAGTCTGAAGGTCAGTCATACTTTGTCTTTGAACTGCAGGCAGGGAACTCCGGCTCCTGATTTCAAGGGAAGTAAGCAAACAGCCCATCTGGGGAGTGGGTAGAAAGAGTCAAAAGTTGCAAATTAGCACGATTTGTCTCTGCTTAACATGAAACTGGAATATTTCAACAAAAGAAAAATTTTAGGAGCTGATATAATGAACAAACTTGGATAAAATGGAACAGTAAAAATGTCACAATTCTACATGTCTATAAAACCTTGCAATACAAACTTTTCCATTCTTTAGCATGCTTGGAAAATATCTAAATTAACTAGAGCACCATGAAAGCGTCGAGCTAACCTGTTCAGGGTGAAAATGAATATAACAAGAACGTTCGTGTTTTGTGACAAAGAAAAAATTCACCTCAACTAGGCACAAAAAGATGCTTCAAAAACTCCTAAAAATAATGAACAATTGAAAATACCTGCTCACTTGCTGCCACTGGCCCACGCTCTGTGCTCTGTCGCCCTGTCGCCTGCATCTCTGCTGATCGCAATGGAAGAAGAAATTGCCTCGCTCGTCATTGACAATAGTTCTAGTATGTGCAAAGCTGGCTTTGCAGGGGACAACGCTCCCCAAGCCAAGTTCCCCTCCATCGTGGTGTCTCCGACACCAGGACGTTATGGTGGGCATAGGTCAGAAGGATTCCTACGTGGGCGATGAGGCCCACAGCAAGTGAGGCATCCTGACTCTGAAGTATCCCATCGAGCATGGCATCATCACCAACTGGGATGATATGGAGAAGATCTGGCACCACACGTTCTACAATGAACTGCATGTGGCCCCCGAGGAGCACCCGGTGCTGTTGACCAAGGCCCCCCTGAACCTTAAGGCCAATAGAGAGAAGATGACCCAGATCATGTCAGAAACCTTCAACACCCCAGTCATGTATGCGGCCATCCAGGTCGTGCTCTCCGTGTACGTATCTGGTCGTACCGCTGTTATTGTCATGGACTCTGGAGATGGGGTCACCCACACAGTGCCCATCTACAAGGGTTATGCCCTCCCTCATGCTATCCTGCATCTGGACCTGGCTGGCTGGGACCCGACTGACCACCTCATGAAGATCCTCATAGAGTGCAGCTACGGCTTCACCACCACAATTGAGCAGGAGATTGTGTGTACAACTGAGCGGGAGATTGTGTGTGACATCAAAGAGAAATGTGCTACGTTGCCCTGGACTTCCAGCAGGAGATGGCCATCGCCTCATCTTCCTCCTCCCTGGAGGAGAGCTGCCTGATGGCCAGGTGATCACCACTGACAATGAGAGGTTCTGGTATCCAGAGGCACTGTTCCAGCCCTCTCCTTCCTGGGCATGGAATCCTGCGGCATCCACGAGACCACCTTCAACTCCATCATGAAGTGTGACGTAGATATTTGCAAGGACCTGTACGCTAACACAGTGCTGTCTGGTGGCACCACCATGTACCTGGGCATTGCTGAAGGATGCAGAAGGAGATCACTGCCCTGGTGCCCAGCACCGTGAAGATCAAGATCATTGTTCCCCCTGAGGGCAAGTACTCAGCGTGGATCGGTGGTTCCCTCCTGGTCTCCCTGTCTACTTTCCAGCAGATGTGGATCGGCAAGCAGGAGTACAAAGAGTCGGGCCCCTCCATCGTCCACTGCAAATGCTTCTAAACAGACTGCGAGCAGATGTGTAGCATTTGCTGCATGAGTTAGTTCATAAGTATAAATTTGCCCTGGCAAATGTATACACCTCATGCTAGCCTCACGAAACTGGAATAAGCCTTTGAAAAGAAATTTGTCCTTGAAGTTTGTATGATATCAGCACTGGATCGTAGAACTTGTTGCTGTTTTTGACCGTGTATTCAAGTTAACTGTTCCCTTGGTATTTGTTTAATATCCTGTACATATCTTTGGTTTAAACCCTTCGTACACATATGACTCAGTCACTTCATGGCTGAGGTGAGAACACGCTTATGGAAGAGAAGTCTGTGATCTGTGAATCTGCATGACCAAGAGGTTTGATCTGTGCTGGGTATTAATGTGTCGGAGTTGAGTATTCCAAGATTTCTCTAGAGGTTGACAAAAGCTGAACACGCTATCATTTCTGTCATGCCAGCCGGTCTAACAGGGTTGGAAAAGACCCAGTTTCCTAACTTAGGACCCAGTTTCCTAATTGTTTTCCTGCCAGAACACCGTGGGTTGTTACTTGCCTTTAGTTAGAAATGGTTTGCATTTACACCTGTAAATTTATTCATCCTTTTAATTTATGTAAGGTTTTTGTACGCAATTCTTAATTCTTTAAGAGATGACAGCAGATTTTGGTTTTTTACTGATATGTGAGAACCTTAGGCCCCAGCAACATGTCATTGTGTAAGGAAAAATAAAGTGCTGCAGTAAAAAAGAAAAAAGAAAATGCCTAAATGTCAAGCAATAGTTAAGCAAAATTCTAAATAATAGCAGCATTCTGATTGCAATTCTATAAAACAAGCACATGTGCAAACAAGAGGCATACATTAGAAAACAGTAGCGCTCAGGAGATGAGAGGGTGGGTGGGGTGGGGTGTTGTAGGTAGATGAAGAGTTTAGGTCAGGTTCAGGGTTGGCTCACATTCTTCCCTCCCACTTACTGGCATTGACATCTTGGGCAAATTTTGTCATCTGAAAAATAGAGATAGTAATAGTGCTGACTTCATTCATTCAGCAAGCACTTCTTGAGTTGCTGCTAAGTGCCAAAGATATGCAACTAAATGAGAAAGACATATGATGGTCTCCACCTATGTAGAACATTCAGTCTGGAAAAGGCACACAAAAAAGGGGAAAAGTCATAAATTTAATAAATGCTATAAAGGAAACAACCAGTTGCCAAGATAATGAGAGAACCAGGCATTGAGTGGGAAGGTTTTGCTAAGTTTGGGAAGGTTTTGCGAAGAAGGTTTGTTGTAAGCACTAAATCAGCCAGTATATTTAGGTCACCAGCACTCTGCTTAGCACATGTCAAATGATCCATGGAAATGAACTCTTATTTTGATCATTTATCTAATACTATTCTGTTTTCCAATTAAAAAAGAAAAAAACGAGCTTGATTATGAGCTCAAAACCAGAACTCAGACAGAGTAAAATGGGTCAGAGTCAAGTTTTCAAAACCACTTGTGAAATCTTGTTGAATTACAGATTCTATTTCAGTAGGTCTAGGTGGGTTGGAGGCCCAAGTTTCTGCATTTCTTTTCTTTTCTTTTCTTTTTTTGAGTTGGAGTCTCACTCTGTCGCCCAGGCTGGCTTGCAGTGGCATGTTCATGTCCACCACATCCTCGACCTGCTGGGCTCAGGCAATCCTCCTGCCTCAGTCTTCCAAGTAGCTGGAACTACAGGCACATGCCACCACGCCTGGATAATTTTTTGATTTATTTTAGAGTTGAGGTCTCACCAAGTTGCCCAGGCTTGTCTTGAACCCCTGGACTTAGTCAATCCTCTCACTTCAGCCTCCCAAAGTACTGATATTACAGGTGTAAGCCACAGCGCCTGACTGAGTTTCTGCATTTCTAACAAGCTCTTGGTGACGCTGATGTTGCTGGTTGGCAGAGCACACTTTGAGCCGCAAGTATCTTGCTTGCTTGCTCTCCATCTTTCTGCGAATGGAAATCAACAGAGGCATTTAAAAAATATTGATGCTGATTTCCACCCTGAGACGTGATTCAAATGGTATGGGGTACAGCTTGGACATCCAGATTTATTAAAAAACTCTCCAGGCCGGGCTCGGTGACTCAGCCTGTAATCCTGCACTTTGGGAGGCCGAGATGAGTGAATTGCCTGAGCCCGAGGGTTCACAACCCACCCGGGCAACTTGGCGAGACCTCATCTCTACAATAAATCAAAAAATTAGCCGGGCGTGGTAGCACACCCCTGTCGTTCCAGCTACTTGGAAGGCTGAGGTGGAAGGATCGCCAGAGGCCAGCAGGTCGAGGCTGCGGTGGCCGGGAGCGGCCACTGCACTCCAGTCTGGGCGACTGAGTGAGACTCCAACTCAAAAAACAATAAAATAAAATAAAATAAAATAAAAAACTCTCCAGATAATTCTAATGTGTAGCAACATTTCAGAAACACAGTTAGACTGACCTGTCCCTACATGTGGGTGATTCAAATTCTGGTCATTGGTGGCTGAGCAGGCTGGAGGAGCCAATACAGGGGCGTATGGTCCCAGGTAGCAACATGAAGTGCAACCTGGCAAGTGTTTTCCTCATTTCCTGACACCCACATAGCAAGGATCTAACCATGATGCCCAGAATATGGGGCAAGAATCTGCTTCTCTGGAAGACCGATGCAAGCAAGGCTGTCTCTTAGTTCTAAAGGATCTGAGATACTAGGCAGGGACTTGAGCATAGTCGCCTCACACCAGGATCCAGGCACTAAGCCTGGAGTATAAAGTTGGGGACTTGGGCACAAGGTAAGAGACGACAGCTCAGTTACTAAGATAGGTTACAGGGTCAGAGTCTGATCCGAGATAAAGCTAGAAGGGCTGAGCCATAGAAGTTCTTTAAGCTCTCACGGCTAGAAATTAGATAGTTAAGCGATTAAGCCTTAGGCAGGGGTAAGAGATGGCAGGACTAGCAAAGAGGGAAAATCAGGGGTGAGAGGCAGAATAACGGACCCCCAAAGATGTGCACATCTTAATGGCTGGAACCTGGGAATATGTAATATTACACAACAAAAGGGGCTTTGCAGATGTGATTAAATAAGCATCTTGAGATGGGGTGATTACCCTAGATTAGCCAGGCGGATCCATATAATTGATAGAAGTCCTTAAAAGTGAAAGGGACTAGCCTGGCATGGTGGCGTATACCTGTAGTTCCAGCTACTTGGAAGGCTGAGGTGGAAGGATCACCCAAGCCCAGCAAGTCAAGGTTGCAGAGGCCATGAGCGTGCCACTGCACTCCAGCCTGGGTGACAGAGTGAGACTCCAAATCAAAAAAACAAAAGTGCAAGGGAGGTAGGAAGATCAGTCTCAGTGATTCACCATGAGGACTCAACTTGCCATCGCTGACTTTGAAGTTGGGGAGGGGGTCATGAGTCAAGAAGTCTGGGCAGACTAAATCCTGGAAAGACGAGGACGCAGATTCTCCCCAGAGCCTCCAGAAAGAAGCAGCTACAAGGACATCTTGATTTTGGCCAAGTGAAACTCATTTTGGACTTCTAATTTCCAGAATTACAAGATAATGTATTTGTGTTGTTTTAAGCCACAAAGCATGTGATAATTTGTTACAGCAGCATTAGGGAACTAATATAAAGACTGTGTCCCAGAAATCGAGTGGAGAAATGTTAGGGCAAAAATGAGTGGCTGTATCAGAATCTAAGTAAAGACTGAAGGTTCCATTTGTGTCTGTGATAAAAAAAAGGGGGGGGGGAGAAGGAAGAATTTGAAGAAATTACATGAACTATTTGGGGATAAGAGGAGTAAGAATTAGAAGGCTCAGAGGACAGCAGTGGAGAATCTGGGACCTGGAGAGGGACAAGATTGCCATACTGAGGGACCGTAAGGTTTATAAGCTTTGATTTTCAAGCAAAAAGTGCTATAAACTCTGTGAACAATTTGGTCAACACAGCTATAAAGTGGTACGCAGGATTCCATTTATAGCCCTAGATGACAGACTGCTGGTTGCTTCCTGAAGTCTACGCTCCTCTCCTTCAGAGAACTTGGTCACCCAGGTGGGCACTGCATTGCCAGCCTTCCTCAAAGCGAGGTATAAGTCTATATTCATCTGCTCAGGCTGCTATCACAAAATATCACTGACGGGTGACTTAAAAAACAGAAATTTGACCAGGTAGGGTAGCTCACTCCTATAATCCCAGCTTTGGGAGGCCAAGGTGAGAGGATTGCCTGAGCCCACAGGTTTGAAGCTAGCCTGGGCAACTTGGCAAGACCTCATCTCTACAATAAATCAAAAAACTTAGCTGGGTATGGTGATGTATGCCTGTAGTTCCACCTACTTGGAAGGCTGTGGTGGAAGGGTCAACCAAGCCCCGTAGGTCAAGGCTGCGGTGGCTGTGAGTGTGCCACTGCACTCCAGTCTGGGTGACAGAGTGAGACTCTGATTCAAAAAAACCCAGAAAAAACAGTAATCTATTTTCTTACAGTTCTGGAAGCTAGAAGTCCCAGAGCAAGTCCTGGTAGGATTCAATTTCTTCCTGGCTTGCAGGTAACCACCTCCTCACTGTGTCCTCACTTGGTAGAGAGAGAGAGCTCTGTAAGCATCTACTCTTTTGTTAAAGAAAAATAAAATGTTTTTCTTTGTTTTAGAGACAAGGTCTTGCTATGTTGTTCAGGCTAGTCTCAAACTCCCACCTCCAAAATGCCGGGACTACAAGCATGAGTCATTGCGCCCGGCCTTAGTGTCTCTCCTTATAAGGACACACTAATCCACTGTACAGGACATCTATGGGATGGTCTAACCTCACTCCTGCAAACTTTCTGAGAGTTACCTTCCCATGGCTCTGTGGTTATCAGAAGAATGCCCAATCTGTACACATGACCTTTCTCCGACCTACTCCCTGTGGCTTGGCCAATCACAGTCATTATCTGAGACCCTTACTCAAAGCAGGGTTTACCTGAGCCTTAACGCCATCTTGGTTTTCAACTCTTTCTTTTATTCACGTGCCAATAAACTTTCCTCTTTCTTTAGCTATTTTTTTTTTTTTTT